TGGCTGGTCCCTGGCTGGCCCTTGGCTGGTCCTTGGTTGGCTCTTGGCTGGTCCCTGGCTGGCCCTTGGCTGGTCCTTGGTTGGCTCTTGGCTGGTCCCTGGCTGGCCCTTGGCTGGTCCTTGGTTGGCCCTTGGCTGGTCCCTGGCTGGTCCTTGGTTGGCCCTTGGCTGGACCTTGGTTGGCTCTTGGCTGGTCTTTGGCAGGTCCCTGGCTTGTCTCTTGCTGGTCCCTGGATGGTCATTGGCTGGTCCTTGGCTGGTCCCCTACAATTAAGTAATTTCCCTCCGGGATTATTAAAGTATGTCTGATTCTGATTCCTTTTCAAACATCAATCTTTGTAGTTAAATATTTTTTATGTCGTTCCGTAAAAGTTCGAAAAATCCACTGGAATTGTTGTTCAAGATTTGAAGACGTTTCGCCACCTCTCCAGGAAGCTTTCTCAATTCAAATGTCTGGATCCGCAGTGAGTTTGAGACTATATAGAGACAAGGCCTTGTATTGCTTGAAACATTCAAATGGAAACCAATGAGTGGGTCGTTTGGTTTCATTTTTATCCTGTAATATCTGAAACCTGTCTATGATTCTGAAGGTCGGTCGTTAAAGGGGGGGGGATTGTCTCCTGTAATACCTGAAACCTGTCTATGATTGTTAAGGAGGTATTGTTCACCGGCTGGACATTTTTTATGCCATGATTTGTGGACATTAAGATCTAAAGGGAAGCATCATCTCCTGGTCAGACCCTGTAATTCAGTAAAAGGGGGGAGTCAGAGTAAAAAATATGCAAGAGGGGGGTCACTCCATTGGCTGGAAGTTGGGGGGGATTCTGCATGGAGTTGCAGGGAAGTGGGCTGCCATTCGGCTGGTAAGGGCCATTTTGAATGGCTGCTACTCTATCTGTGATATTTACATAAACTGGAACAGGTTGTATTATGGGGAGGCTTTCTTAAAATTTAGATTTTACACTTTGTCTTAGAGAAGAAATTGGTTCTGCTTTGCTAATTAATATAGAAATCTGTTAAACAAGCTGTTTTTGTTTTGTTTTTTTATTCTGGAATAACATCCCTCCCCCTTTAACAACCACTTATAATCTCTAAAGCAGAAGTGCGCCATCTGGTTTACAGTCCTCTTCCATTAGCTGCGTACTCCTCGTGTTTACATGTGCGCCTTGTTTGAGCTCAGAGAGGCATTTTACTCTGTTTGTGGTGAAGATAAAGACACCAGAACTCGTGACCGTAGCGCTCGTGAAAGACGCCACACATCGCTCGGTCCCCCAGCTGAACTTTGACCCCGTGATGTAACAGCCAAACCAGTTCCACGTCTTCCTGGGCTACTTTCCAGTTCACACATGGGAAGGCAGATATCAGCAGTGTTGACTTTAACTTCTTTTAGAGTTTACCGACAAGTAGCGAGATTTACACTGCAGTAATGAGAAAATACATTTCTTAGAATGAGAAACAATAGCAAAACTTTTTAGACCAGTTGGAGTTTTTTTAAACTAAAAAATTAAGTTTGGGCTTAAAGGGAAATGCCGTTTGTTGGATTTTACCTAACAGCTGGAAATGAATTAGAAATAAATAATTTGATATGAGTAGGGGCTTAAAACAAGTTGTTGTTCCACATATAATGTTGATCATCTTTTTTTTTATGGAGAAAGAAAAGATATCTTTAGAAACAGGGAAACAAATGAACCATTCAGATCGAATCAAATTCAAGAGTTTAGGTTTTTGTTATTTAAGGACATCATGCAAACATTTTTAAAAAGGCTGCTGGCAACTGTAGAAAGAGATATAAACACTAAAGTTGATTTATTGTTAAGAAATAGTATCTGGAATTAGAACATTTAGTCATTCACACTTATAGTGACTTATATACTCTATGACAAAAAATGCATGATTTCCGTTACATGTAGCTGATTTTAGCTCAGACTAAATAAAAGCCACCAACTTCAGTATGAGGAAAAAAATATGTTAAAACAATGTAAAGCGCAGAATATAGCATTATCATAATAAAAGTTTAAAATGATGTTTAAATATCATGAAATGTTAACATTAACTTCATTTTGAAAAGCCAACACCTATGGCTCCTGGCTAATAGATGAAGCTGTGCTGCTTTCAGTAGAGAAAGATGGCTGGAGATGTATTCTGGTACCCTTCAGACCCATATGGCAAATATATTTATTTATTTATTTACATTTTTTCAAAAGAATAAATAACTAGAGACAAACCTAATGACTTTTCTGGTGAGTTCAGGTAGTTCAAATGAAAGCAGCAATCATTCTAGCATTACTAATAAATATGTGACAGGAGCTGAGAGCTGCCCGAGTTTCTCTCTGCTTCCCTAAGTGTTGTCTCACAGGCACAGGCAGCTGCCTCACCTGAAAGGCCTGCATGCAGTCAGAGCGAAGAGAGCAGAGAGGAGACTTGCTCAGTTTTAACTAGTATAACATAGGCACACAGCTGACCATGATTTCATATTTTACTTCAAAGCAGGATATAAATATGATATTTATATAACTATAAATATAGTTTTTATTATAGTTGCTCTTTTTTCTGATTATGACACAGCTTGAATCCCTTCTGTAGCTACTGATGTGTAGGACTCATACTACTGTCTTTCTAATCAAATTAGATGTATGCAGTGTGTAGATTAAGGCAAAGTATAACAAATCATATGCTTTTTAATAAGACAAGGTTAATGTGTGTTGCATTTTAATGACACTTTATTGATATAGTTCCTTATTATAGCTAGATATCTGTGAAATCATCAATCTTTTATCCCTCAGTCCACATTAAGATTTTTATAAAATAGATCCTTCATTTAGGAGGGGTGTAATGAGATGGTTTTCACAATCATTGTGATGTTATCCTTTAAGAAATTGGAGGGCGAAATATATAAATCTGAATATCCCATGAAATGCATAAATAAACCATGAAATATCTCAATATCACATTTATTTATTTGTTTATTAAATACATAATGAAAACATTAAATAAAGGCTACCAGGAAATTGTAAAATGCACGATTATATGATTAGATCTACCATAAGTTACTTAGAAATACCTTCAGAATGGTAAATTGAATACTTTAAAAAATTATTTAAAACATATGAATAGAATTCCTCCACTTATGCATTAATTAATACAAATGAAACAATGTATGTCTTGCTGGTCTTTTGCATCGCTGTAGAGAATGCGTTTGCGGTGTGCAACATGAGCTTTGTTTTGTCTTCAAGGGAGCCTCCATAAGAAAAGCAAAGACCTGAGCACAGAGCGAGACTTCTTCATGAGGATGAAATGCACAGTGACCAACAGAGGGCGCACTGTTAACCTCAAGTCAGCAAGCTGGAAGGTAAGGTCTGCAGATGTTAAAGGGATTCATCAGATTTTATTGTAAAGGCCTTCAGGATCTAAAATGGATGCATATTCACTTGGTAGGTAATAATATCCATACAAATGGGCTCTATGCCGAACTCGACTACTAACCTGAACTTAAGGCAGCTCCTTGTTTTCCTGTCTTTCCCTAATGTATGACCTGATTAAAGGTATAGTGGAGGATGTTCTTTTCTGGGTGGATCATCTAAATCAGTGGTGCTCTTAACTGTTAATCATTCTGGTGATATGTTTACATAAGGCAGTCCTACATGCTTGTCCCCATTTTCACTTACTGCTAGTGAGTCTGACATACAGTAGTGGAAAAAATTGCAAATCTTCTTTTGAAAACTAAGCATCTATGAGCAAACAGCAGCTTTTAAACAGAGTGTGCACGAGGTGGTAAACGCTCTCGCACACGTTTAATAGGCGATCCCTCTCAGTAGCTGGTACAGGGTTGTGCACGTGCATTTCTTTTTTAACTAGAGAGAGGACAAGTCTTTTCAAAAATGTGTGAAAATCCTCTACTATACTTTTAAGCCAGGTGTGTATGGCGTCGGTATCCATGGCGACAATGGCCAGTCACACCTAGTTTAAACGGCTCATCCAAGAGAGAAAGACGGGAAACAAAGAAGCTGCTTTAAGTTCAGTATTGAGTTGTGCATAAAGCACATTAAAAGAATTTCCCGCATAGATAAATGTAAATGTATTAGTTTAAGGATGGACTACATGTGAATTATTCCAGTCAGTTTAACCCAGACGTCTGCCCTCATAGGTGCTGCACTGCACCGGCCACCTGAAGATGTACGACGGCTGCCCGTCACGAGTCCTCTGTGGCTACAAGGAGCCTCCGCTCACCTGTGCTGTCCTGATGTGCGAACCCATCCCGCACCCGTCCAACATTGATGCCCCGCTGGACAGCAGGACGTTCCTGAGCCGACACAGCATGGACATGAAGTTCACCTACTGCGATAACAAGTAAGGGGAGCAGGAAGCCTATTACTCCATGTGACTCAGAGCTCGCCCTTGCAGCAGTCTGAACTCAAACAGTCTCATGCACTAGAGGGAGTGCATGCTGGAGCACCTGCATGGTGGGGGTTAATCTGTGGCGTGTCACTAATTATAATGATTCATATTATTTACACATGCTTGAGCGTGAGGGCGTGCACGCGGCCGGTGGGTCTCATGCCAATGCCGCCCTATATGGCAAAGCCGAGTTGGACGGCTGCCCATGTTGCCCGTATCAGAAACTGCCATTGTTCACACCAAACTACTTTTTTGTTAAAATGCAAGTAAAAACTGGCAATTTAAAGCCCTGCAGGGAGAGTCTGCCCCCCCTTGTGGCCCAATTGTTGAAACACACATGCTAAAGTGCCCTCTACAGCCTTGACGACTCGCTATACGTTCCCTTTATTTTTTTTATTCCCTCCTGCCCTTCAGAGAGTCTATGCACACCACTGCATAATGTAGGTGAAATGAGGCGTTTGGCTGCTATGCTGTTTTCCTCCAAAATGACCCATAAAAACAGACTTTATAATCTATTAATGATAATTTCATTTGTCAACAGCTTTTAGCTGCTGCTTCTATCTTAGCTCCTATGAAATCAGCAAAGGTGTGATTAGTTTTTTTGTAGTGGTTGAATTTTTGTCATCAAAATGACATCATAGGAAGGGCTTGTGTAATCCCTGCATGGTTGCCAGTTTGGCTCATCCAGCTGCCAGCTGCTGATTCGGTATTCAGGAGCAATTGACCAGCAAATTGTCCTCCACGTATTGAATGCCCCAAACCTCGACCAGCACAAAGTAGGCATAGATGTGACTGAAGGATGACTCAGAGCAGGATTATGAAATAATCAGTTCAGATTAATTGGAGCTAACAGAGCGGTGGGGGGAAACCAGGTAAGAGTTGATTGTCTAATGGAGATGGTGCAGAGGGTGGAGCAACTGGTTTAAAAGTGAAGAATTAGCAATAAATTGGCATTTTCTATGAATCTTTGATGTTTCTGTTTAAAGTCAACAATGTAACTTAACTGTTGATTAGCTTCATCTACGTTTCCTTGTTGGTTTTGCACCAGGTGCCTCCATGTTTTAATAGGTACACCCTATTAATGCATACCGTTACATAAAGACTCCTATTGTTAAAATTGTTATCCTCATGGCTTGTTTAGATATTTACAGGGTAACACAAATAGAACAAGCTAACATTAGCCACTTAGTTAATTGCTGTTCTGCTTACTAGCCTGCATCCTGCTGCTTAACAGACACATCACTCCTAATGCTTCTGCATTCCCACTTATTGTTTTGCTCTTTTTTTTTCTGACTTTAACTACTGCGGTTCCAATTTTGGAATCAAAACGTTCGGCTTGTTCAGGAGAATTATGCCATATCTTCTGGTAAAGATATTTGTTGTAGCTTTCGTCATATTCAGCTTTTTCTGCATTTTTTCCCCCCATTGAAATGCATGTAGAATTCTCAGATTTCAACAAAATTCAGCTAAAAGTTCAGGCTGTTTGGACTACTTCAGCATACTTTCAGCTAGAAACACCATTCAACTTTTATGATGTTCTCCAAATATTAAACTATTTCTGTTTTAGTCAGCGTTTTGATATCTTTTACAGGTTTTTGTAAAATTGTGATT